AACCGAAGAATGGATAGAGAAAATGTGGTACATTTACACAAGGGAGTACCAGTCAGCAGAAAAAATGGAAACTTGAAAATCACAGGAAAATAAATGGAACTAGAAGAAACCATTCTGAGCGAGGTAACCCAATTGCAAAAAGACAAACATGGTATGTACTCACTCATATATTGATTTTAGACATAGAGTAAAGGATTACCAACCCACAATCCACACTGCCAGAGAAGCTAGGAAACAAGGAGAACTCTAAGAGAGACATACATGTTCCCCTGGAAAAGGGGAAAGGGACAAGATCTCCAGAGCAAATTGGGAGCATGGGGGAAAGGGAAAGGGAGCTAGGAGAATGAGAAGGGGAGAAGAGAAGGGGTGAGGAGGGCATGAGGGAACCGGAAGTTTGAGTCAGGTGAAGAATACAGGAAAACAAGATAAGAGATACCATAATATAGGGAGACATTTTAGGCTTACAGAGAAGTCAGGCACTGGGGAAATGTCTGGCGATGTACAAAAATGGCAACAGCTAACAATCCAAGCAACAGAGGAGAGGATACCTTAAATGCCCTCCCCTGATAATGAGATTGATGACTGACTTATATGCCATCCAATAGCTTTCATCCAGCTGGTAGTGGAAACAGAAGCAGACACCCATAGCTAATCACTGAACATAACTGAATTCCAGATGCAGAGAAGAAGGGATGATGAGCAAAGCGGTTCAGACCAGGCTGGTGAAACCCACAGAAACAGCTGACCTGAACAAGGGGGCATTCTTGGTCCCCAGACTGATAGCTGGGAAACCAGCATGGGACTGATCCAGACCCCAGGAACATGGGTATCAGTAAGGAGACCTCAGAAATCCGTGGGGGCTCCTGTAGTAGGTCAGTACTTATCCCTAGCATGGGGTGGACGTTAGGAGCCCATTCCACATAGAGGGATACTCCCTAAGCCAAGTCACATAGGGGTGGGCCTAGGCCCTATCCCAAAGGATATGACAGACTCTGATACCCCATATGGAAGGCCTCACCCATCCTGGGGAGCAGAAAGGGCATGTGATAGGTAGGGCTTTAGTTGGGGGGATAGAGAGGGAGGAGGGGCAGGAGGGAACTGGGATTGACATGCAAAACAATGTTGCTTCTAATTCAAAATAAAAAAATGAAAAAAAGTACATGACCACTGTGACCCTTCACTAATGATTGTTGTTTCTTATATATAAAACCAAGCATGTTCTATAGATACAATCTTCAGTGTCTATTCATTGTTCTCTCTGTGTATACGTTTCTAAGGCTGACCATGTGGTCTTTTGCACATTTGTTTTTTTTTTATTTGATACATTGCTTTCAATGTTCTTTATCCTTTAAGTGGAATATACATTAATATAAATTTATCAGTTGATACACTTGATATTTGCAAGACTTACTTGTAACCCAAAGAGAAAATAAAACTATTCATTCTAACAGAATAAAAAAACTTCTCTGGTTTGAAAGTCAAGACAATTCTATGTCCCACTGTGTGTTTTGGGGGGTTTTCTATAGTAACAGAACTCACAGACTCTTGCTCTGGCTCTCCCTGGGAAGGGGCTCCCAAAGTCCATTTGTGCTCTATAAGAAGCCAAGATGTCTGCATTCTCACTCCCAGGATATGAACTTACTAAGTTTGGTGCCAGGTAGGACTTAGATAAGTACCTTTAAAGAGAATTTAAGCCATGAGGTCTTAAACGATATTAATGTCCTGATGATGCAAACAAGTAGTCCAGAAAGTCAACCTCATAGAAACAAATTAGAAAAGGGAACAGAATTGGAAAATGCTTGCCCTTAGCTACTGTGTACCAGGACATTGTGACAAAGGATGTGAAGACAATTGGAGCTTAGGGTAGAAAGAGAGCAGAGTCTATTCTAAGACCTGCCTGGGGGAATATTAGACTTGTGCCTGGGGAGCCACCTTGAAATTATGACCTGGAATTGTATGATCATAAAAGTGTATTGTCTCGGAACACTGTGCTTTGACCAACATCAGTTTTAGATGTCTGGCATCTGAAATTTTGTCTCCTTGTGAAATAGAATACTGTGACATGTGAATGTTCATTCTCTGGCTTGGAAAACATGGGGGACCTGAGGAAATCTGAGGAATAGAGGAAGAAACATTTTATCTAAAGAGTCTTTAAAGACATGGCATTATTTAACCAGGTCCCTGCACCGAAGAGAAAAAAGGAAGTGATTGTACTGATGTGGCAAACCCATTACCGGAAGGACCAGCCCAGAGACTGAGAACAGACTGTCAGGGGTTCTCCAGAACATAGTCAGACCAACCCAGGAGCACAAGTAAGAACAATAGCGAGACTCACCATGATCCCAGTGTTCATTGTGCTGCTCTTCCTTGGTAAGATATGAAGGGTGGGACACTCAAATTTGTAAGGACCTTACTCCCCAACCAGGTCTGATTCCATATGGAGACCCCAGGGAATCCAGCCTGGCTCTCAAATGGGAAAAAATTCTCAGAGGGAATTTTCTTCCAGGTCTGAGTATGGAACACAAGACTGAAGTACTGGCAGGTTGTTTTCTCTATCGATCCCAGGATTGATACTTTATTCTGAAAACCAGATTTCCCTTTTTCTCTCCAGTAGATTAATTTTCACAATTATAATAGAAAAAATAGGGGCTAATGCTGTGATTCTTGTGAGTGCTCTATTCTCATAGCTGTGATCTCTGGGAAGACTTTACTGGGACTCACCCTTTGATTTCCTTACAGGTTCTCTCCCAAGGCCCATCATCTGGGCTGAGCCAGGCTCCTTGATTGTTCTACATATGCCTGTGACCATTTGGTGTCAGGGATCCTGGAAGGCCCAAGAGTACCGTCTGCATAAGGAGGGAATCATAGATCCTTGGGACAGACAGTACCCTCTGGAAACCAAAAACAAGGCCAAGTTCTACATCCAACGCATGTCAGCCCTACATGCTGGGATATATAAGTGTTCCTATATGATCCCTGGTGGAAGATCAGAGCACAGTGACACCTTGCAGCTGGTGCTGATAGGTGAGTGGACACTCAGGAGTCCTACCCCAGGCTCTCCCTTCAAAATGAGGTATACTCTCCAGGGTTTCTATTCCTGAGTCCAAATCTGGTGGACAATGTGTGTAGTTTAGATTAATTTATTTCACTGACCCTTGTATCTTAGGAGCCTATGAGGAACCAAGCCTGTCAATCTGGCCCCGCCCTGCTGTGTCCTCAGGAGAGTCCATAACCATGAACTGTAGCTCACCACTGAGATTTGGCATATTCATTCTGATCCAGGATGGAAATAGCAATCTCTCATGGACACTGGATTTAGAGCAGCAGGTCAAGAAACAATTCCAAGCTCATTTTGTTCTGGACTCTGTGACTACCAACCACAATGGAACATTCAGATGCTATGGCTATTTTAGGAATGATCCTCAGGTGTGGTCATCATCAAGTGACCCTGTCAATGTCCTGGTCTCAGGTAAGTACCCCTGTCTTATCCCTTCTTAGTGTATATGGTCACTCATTTATCTTCTTTAAGAAGGGCCCTTGCCTAGAATATGTGTAAGGAAACCCGAAGTAAGGAAACTCTCCTTTCCAAAGACTATCCCCCTCCACAGAGGAGAAACCATCACCATCCCCTGTTGCAAGTGACCCCCATGACTCACTGCAATTTAGCATAGGCAGGGGGGTTAAAATTGGACACATATTTGATGAAGTGATCAGACATTGTCTCTGTACTGGTTAAGTTTCTATTTTTATGATGAAATAAAACCTTATCTAAAGAAACTTGTGTAGGACAAGTTTTATTTCATCTAATAGTTTACAGTTCATCATGAAGAGAATTAGAGGTAAGCACTCAAGGAAGGAACTGAAGCAGAGGCCATACAAGAACACTGCTTACACACTGACTCCCCAGTGTCTTGTTTTGCCTTTTTTTCTTACACCATCAAGGTCCAACTGTCCAGGGTTAGAAGGGTTAGAACCACCCACAGTGGCCTGAGCCCTTCCACATAACTATCAATCAATCAGGAAAATTCCCCAGCAGACTTGCCTACAGGAGAATATGATGGAGGCATATTCTCAATTAAAGTTGCCTCTTCCCTGATGACTCTAGCTTGTATCAGCTTAATAAAATGTGATCGGGGCAGTCTTCAGTGGCATCCACTGTCCTTTACTTCCTTTTGTCTTCATTTCTTGAAATAAAGGGCCCAGTCACATGGCAACAGGTGGTCACCAAAGGCTTGTGGCACAAAGATAACACAGATTTCATCAGGAAGTTTTGTGTTCCCCAGTGACCCAGTTCTCTACTTACATTTAATTATATGGTTTGTTGAGGCTGGGCAGACCTTAGATGTGATCTTGATAGATGCACAAGTATCCAGATGCATAAAATCTTGTCTGCAACAACGTGATAGCTAGGTAGAAGTACTTAAAAGTCCAGTTTGGGGTAGAAACAGACAGGCCGTAGTCAAATGCTGGAAGTTCAAATACTCACCTCTCCATCCATCTCTGGCAGAATCCAAGAACCAGTCCGGAATACACACTGAGAGTGGTAAGTAAGAGTTCTCATGAGATGTGGGTACAGTAATGTGTGAGAATCCTCTGATGGTGATAAACTGAAAGAACTGTACTTGCTTCCCACTTAAATAATCTGTTCCTTACATAGCCAAGGCCTCACTATATCTCTCTACCTAGATGCCATACTCTCCTTAACACCAACTTCTGATCCCCTGGGATCCTGAAATCCCAAATGTGGTTTCTTCCTATTCTCTAGTTCCCTGGATTAATTTATTGAATAATGAAGGGAAATCAAGGTGTTCTTTTAAAATTCAGACTTGAGGAAAATCACCTTCTCTGAGTCTTTCCCTTGATTTCCACAAGTGTAAAGGAAAGTGTTGGCCCAGACCTTCAATTTACTTTCTGTGCTTTCCTTGACTGTGACCTCCTGGATGAGTAGGAGTCTCATCCACCAGATGCCAATTCTGGAATGACCATGTCCCCTCTGTCATGAGAATGGTGACACAGTACCCAACACTGGAAGAGACTCACAGCTTGGCTGGACATTCAGACTCTTTTGTAGAGCACTTCTTTTGTAGTGAGGGCAAGGCTCAAAGTCAGATATTGGGATCCCACCCCATCTCTTTATATTCCTTCTTAATTACCTGTGCCTAGTGGGTCTCTCTGGGCCTTAATTTATTCATCCATTCTATCTGGATAATGGAAATAATTCCATGATGTATGATTGTGAAGATAGAGGCTATGACTGGGTGGGAATAAAATAGGTGTTTGGGTAAATAATATTTTTCCCTCATATGTGATGTCAATTGCACCTAAGGACTGGGAAGGTACCAGAAAGTTCTGATTGGAGTCTTGGTGACACTTCTCCTCATTTTCTTCCTCGTGCTTCTTCTCCTCCTCTTCTGTTATCTGTGTAAAAGCAAGGAGAAGAATACAGGTAAGTCGGATGAGATTGACTTGGGCGTATGGATATGGTGGGTAGAGAAAACATGTAGTCTCCAGATCTGTGCAAATTTCAAATATTTGGAAAGAGCTTTTCTTCTCCCACATTATTTGTATCCTTATAGCATATGTTTTACCATTCCCTTTATTTATTCATCTGAAAGTTTCTATTGGTGGGGCCTTCTCTTTCTCCTAGCTGATACTTTTTCATTTCATGCAGCCCAAGGGGAGACCAAGTTGCATCTTCTTGCAGGGGATCCAGAGCCATCACCCAGCGACAGACTCCCTCAGAAGAGGTAACTCCTGCCCAGAGACCCAGACTCCCACCTGTCTCATATTTCACTGCTGTCTGATAATCTATGTCTCCACAGATCCAACCCAGATGCTGCCATCAAGGAAGAAAACATGTGTGAGACAAAGAAATTCCTGGGTATGGAGATACTCTAGATCTCAGAATACAGGGCTGATGGGAGGGGCTGTGGTTAGCACTCCGAGGGACCTAGAGGCTTGACCACACTCCCTGCTTCTCTGACTCCTTGTGGGACAAGGGCATGGGTCTGGAAGACTGAGAGATCCCAGAATCTCTGGCCAAGGGATGACTCCTTTGTTCTAACACAACAGATACTTCTGTGAAGGACACACACCCTGAGGAGAGTCTAGAGCTGGACAGTTGGGTAAGACTGCTGCCCCATTCATAGTGATAAGAACTTATGGCCCAATTTGATCCAGCACTCCTTCTTCCTGCCAGCAACAGCCACAGCTGATCCATCCATTCAGAAAAAAAGTGCCTCTATGAACTATGATCTCTCCTTCTTGGTCTAACTAGGACTTCGTGACCTTTGTCTTCTGTCTCTTTTTTTTTTTTTTGATTTGTGTGACCTGTCTGTTGACAGATGTACCCAAAGTCTCAGAAGAACAAGTGAGTCATTGAGCCCTCATCCCCCAAGTTCCCCATATACTCACTCACCCTGTCATCCACAGAGAGCTTCTTCTTTTTTGAGCTTGAGAACAATTTTATTAGCACTTAAGACAAAAAAAAAAACAGCACAGGAAGCATGAAAATTCCAGCCACTCCCTGGAGGATAAAGACAAACATGGAGAAGACAAATGGGGAAAAGCCATGCTTGAGTAGAGCCAGGATGAAAATCACCTAGGTGATTGCAGGCAGCCACAAGCCAGGAGGGAAAGCTTTAGAGAAAGAGTCTGGAATCCCAAAGTGTTGGGGAAAGCATGCATAGAACTGATACACAAAGAAATAATGGAAATGTTATGTAGCAACTCAACAGTAGGTACATTTACAAAACGTGTGGCTTATAGCAATGTAAGCCACTGCAAGGAGAATCTTTTGTTCTGGATTTCCATAATGGCTGCAAACTCATCAAGGGGGCAGAGCTCCTCATCTACGCTAAGCTCACCTCGAGGCTGAGAAATTAGATGTGTAAGTGTAGAATGTTCATGGTGTGGTGAAAAGGGGAAAAGGAAGCAGAGAAGATCGATATGGTGTGTGAGGCACACAGGACAAGTGTGGATCACAAGGGAAGACTCTGACTAGGTGTATTCTGAGGAGAATGCTGAAGAGGTCTACCCAGACATCCAAAAACCAGCACAAACAGGCAGAGCATACAGCAGATGAGAAGGTCTTCACAGAGGAAGATGCACACATAGCTGGATCTGAGCAAACAGGAAACAGTGTGAGGATAAAAGGCCAGAACTATTGGAAGGACACTTACAGACTCCCCAAAGACTCAGAACACCCCCTGGAGACCCCATTATTCATGATATGTGACTAAAATTTCTCAAGATCTCTGTCTGACAGAGTTCCAGGATGGAACCAGGAGACGCTTTGTCCATCTCTTCATCTCCTTGCTGCAGAATCCACCTGATGAAGACCCCCAGAGAATCGTGTATGCCCAGGTGAAACCCTCCAGGATTCAGAAGACGGGGCTTTCCTCTCCCTCCCCACTATCAGGGAAAGTACTGGACATGAAGAACAACCAATCAGAAGATAACAAAGAGATACACTCTCAGGTGGGTCCTGTTCATCCAAGCCCCTTAAGTTGCTAATGCCAAGCACAAACCTTCCTCAAACTCTGTCACACTGCAGGAAACTACATCCAAGGAACCCCAGGAGGTGACTTATGCCCAGTTATCCAGCAAGACACTGAAACAGGACAACAGCTGAGACCAGTAAACAGCCATCACAAGAAGAAGGCCCCGACCTGACATCCTATGGACAAAAGTTAGGAGACATCTGAGATAATATTTGTCCCTAATGCACTCTAATGAGTGCCAGCCATCATGCATACCTCGGGAGACTCTCAGAACTTTGGGGACCCTCTTGATTCCTTGGTCAGAGATAACTAATGTCCTTACATTTTGTACATAAAGCCAAATCCTCCTCAATAACAATGAAATGAGAAAAAAATCAAGTGAGAAAATGTGACTTGAATGACATTGTGTCCATGACACATTGATTTTGAAACAAGAACTTTCAGAATCATGAATAAATGTGTAAGCAAAGAAAATGTCTTCAAAAATCAATAGTCTCGTCTATTATGATGAAGAGAAAGAGTGTTAAAAACAAGCTATCCCAAGTGGAGGCATGGATGGGGAAATGGTGATATAAGAGAAGCCAGTGACCCTGAAAGATGGCCAGTCATCCTAGTTAATCATGAATAGAAGGCCTTATCTATCATTTTGAAACCCTCAGGTTCATTCCTAGCAGATAAAAAGACAGAGAGAAATGGAAAGACAGAGAGAGGGGGTAGGGAGAAAGTTTGTGGTGCTTCTCCTATACTCCTAAACACGTGGTCTTCAACTGAAGTGTGGCCAACTTACCAGGAGTCGCAACCGTAAAGAAAATGGACTTTTCCTTTCCCCAGAGTTATCTAGCCAACAGGTTCTCCGTTAGGGATGGACTTCATATCCACCTCCCTCTCAGTGCAGGGATTTGGTCTGTTTGAGCTTTGCAGGACTTATGCATGTTGTCATAACCACTGTGAGTTCAAAACTGCAGCTGCCCTGCAATGTCTGGAAAACACTATGTTCTTGTAGCCATCCAGTCTTTGACTCTTTATTATGTGTATTTTAATTAGTTTATGTTTAACATTCTAATCTCACTTCCCCCTACCTCCTCTCCTCCTATTCTCCCCCACACTGCCTCTCATCTGCTCCTCAGACAGGGTAAGGCCTCCCCTAGGAAGTCTACTAAGTCTGTCCCATCATCTCAGTGAAGCAGGACAAAGGCACCTTACCCCACCCCAACCACCCCTGTGTCTAGGCTGAGCAAGGTATCTGTCCATATAGAATGGGCTCCACTAAGTCAGCTCATGCATTAGAGTTAGATCCTGGACCCACTGCCAGTGCCCTCATATATTGTCCCAGCTGAACCAGTATTTGACTCTTACAACTTTCTGACTCATCTTCTGCAATGATCCCTGAGCAATGGGCTGAGGGGTGTGACTTTTATGCCCCTAGCAGCTATCAACTGCCAACAGATCCTTGGCTAGCTGTGAGGCCCCGTGAGCTTTATTCCCTCCATGCTGGAGTCCTGATTGGTTTCACCTTGTGTAGGTCTTATGCCAGTGACTCACAGCTACTGTGAGTTAAGAGATGAAATGTTCCCGTTACATACAAATGACACTATTTTACATCACAGAAACATTGGCAGTCCTGTAGCTCTTACAGTCACCCTCTGAGGAGGGACTTTCGATAGAGATTTAGGAGACTCCCCAGTCACTTATTCTCCGAAATTTGGCCAGTTGTGTGTCTCTTTATTCCACACCATATGTGGCAAAAAGAAAGTTTGATAAGGAATGAGAATTGCACTCTTCTAAGGATGTAGAATGGGTATTTAGAAAGCAGATTAATATTATGTCCTTTTAGGTACCTTACTTCAATCATATTGTAGAAAATTTTTTAACTGAGGTGAAGTCTACAGTGAAATACTACAGAAATGTATACAAGCCTCTGGTGAGATAAGACTTAAACTGAATCTGGAGTACACAGAGCAGCATATGTTGAGGCCCAATGTTAAGAGTGAGCTTCTGGAGAAATATGAGCAAGAGTGGACAAAAGGCAAAATAAGGTAATTGGCCGTGAATAAAATCAAAATACATATACATATAAGAAAATGTCATGAGACCCATTATTTTATGTAAGGTCATTGAATATTGATAATATATATTAACAAAAAGAGTGAGCCTTTTGTTTATTTGTAATTGTGAGATCCTCAACATAGATACATCGTCAAGTAAGTCTAGAATCTTCAAGTACAGTTAGTTAGCCATCAGAGTATTGGAACTTCTTGTACCTACTGTAAAGGAACCTTGGACCCATACTGACCAGAAGAGAAGAGGAAGAAACTCTACCTGCACCCACCAGAAAAAGGGGTGAGAAGAAGATAATATAAAAACACATTCAACAACAGAAAAACCCATATGATTCTAGGGACTCTACACCAGCAAGACCCGAACATCCCAACACAGATGAAGCAGGAGAGAATTACCACAAAAACAACTTCATGAAAATGATAGAGGCCCACAAAATAGATATGAAAAACTCGCTTAAAGAAATGGAAGTAGAAACAAACCAAAAAAATTCAAGAAATCAACAAATCTCTTAAAGAAAGCCAAGAAAAAACAATCAAACACATGAAGGAAATAATCCAAGACCTGAAAACCAAAATAGAAACAACGAAGCAAACACAAACTGAAGCAATGCTAGAAATAGAAAAGCTGAGTAAACAATCAGGAAATACAGATGCAAGCATAACCAACAGAATACAAGAGATGGAAGAGAGAATCTCAGGAGTTGAAGATACGCTAGGAGAAATAGATTCATGGACCGAAGAAAATATTTTTATGTAAATTAGAAACAATCTTCTTTTACATGTCAATCTCAGTTACCTCTCCTGCCCCGTATTGACCTCCCTATCCCAACCTCTTTT